GGAAGGAAGGAAGGAAGGAAGGAAGGAAGGAAGGAAGGAAGGAAGGAAACAATATAGGAGAGAGAAGGGAGGAAGGAAAGAAGGAGAGAGAAGGGAAGAGAGGGAGAGAGGGAAGGAGAAGGGAAGAATAATGAAGAGAGAAGAGAGGAAGGAAAGAAGGAGAGGGAAGGAAGGAAGGAAGATGAGACAAAGAGGGAAGGAGAGAGAAGGGAGAAAGGAAGGAAAGAAGGGAAGGGAAGGAGGGAGGAAGGAGAAGGGAAGAATAATGGAGAGAGAAGGGAGGACGGGAAAAAGGAAGAAAGATGAGACGAAGAGGGAAGGAGAGAGAAGGGAGGAAGGAAGGAAAGAAGGGAAGGGAAGGGAAGGGAGGAGGGAGGGAGGAAGAAAGGAAGAAGAGCGAAGGGAGAAAGGAAAAAAGGAAAAAGGGGAGGGAGGGAGGGAGAAAGAGAAAGTCAGAGAAAGAAATACAAGTGGTTTTGAATTATTTCATGCCCCACTGCCTGCTATCCACACAGCCCGATGAGGAAAGCCAAGGAAATAGTGATAGCTTATGATGGCTGGTTATGAATCATGCTTCACAACTCTAATCACATATTGAGATGTCCACATGTACTGTATTTCAAGATGCAGATGATATGCCTTTTGTCACTCTGCGGCAACCCTTGGAATAGTAAAATAAACAACAGCGGAAAGCGATTGCAGGATTCCTCCCACAAAACTATAGCCTGAGCCATGAACCATAGCCTGACATTCAGCAGTTCTGCCATGGCTGATTTTTGCCTAATTTAAAAAGGGGAATAATGCATGTTTCATTTCCACGCTCCCTTCGTCTTCAAAGCCTCCATGCTTCACTGTGGGAATCATCACTGTTAACATTAATGTTTCCCGCAACAAAGGCGAAAACCACGGCCAAAGTTTGCACGTCGACAATGCATCTTTAAACACCCTTGTAAACACATCTGGAAAAAGAGCAGCATTGTAGAGAACCTGCACCTGACAGTTTCAAGGTGTCAATCATCCATCACTTGTCCCTCTGCTTGTCTGACACACAGAGGCGGAGAGTTGGGACGTTTCTATAGGTAATCCTCAACTTAGGACCATAATGGAGTCTTCCCATCACAGCCAATCAGAATAAAAGTGGAAGGGACCTTAGAGGTCTTCTAGTCCAATCCTCTGCTGAATCAGGAGATCCTATACCCGTGATGGTGAACCTATGGCACGCGTGCGTGCCACTTCTGCTGGCCTGCGAGAGGTCGCCTGGAAGAGCGAAGAACTTCTGGAGGCACGCTGTTCCACTGGTTAATTGTCCTCCCTGTTAGAAACTTCCTCCTTAATTCCAAGTTGCTTCTCTCCTTGATTAGTTGCCATCAGGGGTGGGATTCAAATTTTTTAACAACCGGCTCTGTGGGCGTGGCTTATTTGGTGGGGTGTGGCTTGGTGGTCATGTTATTGACTGGGCGTGGCCAACTCAATATCACTCACATCAAGGCACGCATCTCCTCGCCTGGCCTCTCATGACTGTGGGGATGCTGCAGCAGTCGTAAGTGTGAAAAATGGTCATAAGTCACTTTTTTCAATGGTCACTCCACACAAGCAAAGTACCAGCAAAGGAGGGGAAAAATACTCCAGAGATGTTCCAGAGACAGGAAGTCTAGTCCTGCCAAGAATGTAATAAGGGTTAACGGAGAGGCAGTTTCTATAAGCAACACCAGAATGTTGCCTTCCTGCCTTTTTTACAAAATGGACCTGTTTTGGCACTTCCAGTATTTGGGCCCATTTTTTGGCCTTCAAAGGCTGCAGAGGCTTCCCTCAAGCCCTCAGTAGGGCGAAAATGGCTTCCCCTGGACTCCAGAAGCCCTCCGGAGGCTGAAAACAGGCACTCCCGGTATTTCCAGAAGGCCTGTTTTTCGGCCTCCCGAGGCTGCAGAGGCTTCCCTTGAGCCTCTGGGACTCAAACGGGCTGAAAATCAGCTGGGAGGCGCACACATGTGCAGTGCAGGTAGGTTTGGCTGGGGCTCGCGTGCCATAGGTTCGCCATCACGGCTCTAGTATGTGTTATATTTCTGTGTTTTGCAGTCCAGCTGATTCGAAGCATGTGCTCACCGAACCGGTTATTGCACCAGTTGAATCCCAGCACTGCCTGTAAGCCAGATGTTGTGTGCTAATATAAATGTTGGGGTGGAGAAAAATAACCTTAGAAAGCCTGAGATGTTATCAGCTAAATGTGGGCTGGGGACATGGCTGCTTTAGTCATCATCATCATCATCGTCAAACATGTAGTTATGTTCGACTTTCGACCACTCGACCATCGGCAAGAAAAGCCATTAAAGGGTGCAAAACTCAACTTCACCAATGTTCCCACTTCCACATAAATCTCAGGCTCAATTGCACTCCTAAGTCAAGGACTGCCTGTACTTGAATGTCTAAGGCTAATAACATCATTAAGTTACAAACAGCGTTGCGGTTTGCCCCGTGACACAAAGTCCAGGGTTTGGGGGGTTTTTTTTTGGATTCCTTCCTCTTGGCTTTGCCACCCCGGTTTTCCCTCCCTGTGGTGAAAGGGTTGAGGCTACCCACTTTCTGTCATTGTGATAAATGGCCCCTCTCTCTGTAGCTTCCGTTCCATCTGCTATGCCCTCGGACTACACCGACACGAGAAAGCACTTGTGCTCTACAGCTTCGGAGTGGCACCTTGTGGTTCGCGCAGGACAATCTGTGCATTTATTAAAATGGTTTCTCAGATAAATGAAAACATCGGACATGTAATATCGGCGTCTGCAAACTGCCATCGTAGTATTGACCAGCGACAAGCTAAATTGGAGAGGGGAGGCTTCGGTGGAGGGCGCTGCAAATCAAGGATGGAACGAATACAATTCAAAGGACGTTTTGTTTGGGTGTTTTGTTCTAAAACATCTCCTTTCTCCCAAATCCTTCGTCTCTGCTATGGAGATACTCATTGCTCTTAAGGCAGGGGTGTCAAACGCAAGGGCTCACAGGGTGCTTAGATCTGTGCCTGGAAACCGTGAAGGACCGGCCTGCGGTACCTCTTCCAGTGAAAACATCCCTTGGAAGGCCTGCCTGCAGCTCCTCCCAGACTGTGTTTAGCCACGACAGCTCCTGCAGTCCTCTGCCAGCGAAAATGGATCCCCCAGCCCTGCCCGGGCCACCACAGGTGCCGCCAATACGAGTGACGTCAAGCCAGCCACGCCGTCCCCCGGCTGTCCGACGTCAACACACAACCCTGATGCGGCCCCCAATGAAATTGAGTCCAACACCTATAGGATTCTTTGAGCCTGAGAGAGGACAAGGGCTGTTTCCAGAATATAGGTAGTCCTCAACGTA